CATATCACTTTTGTTTCTGGTTCTGATATTGTCATAGTTTTAGTTTTGGGATTCGGACATCGTTAATTGTTGTGGTTGTTGGATCTTAACAGCGGAAAACGGCTCGAGAAATTTGTTTGTGAACTTCATAAATGCAAAAGTGAATCAGATGTGTGTGACTCAAACCTCCGTTCAAACTGTTTCTCTTCCCAACGGAATTGAAAAATAGTTAAAGGTGAAGGTGATGGGCAGGATTGATCCACAGGAAAGACGAAAAAGGAAACCTCATCCCGGAAATCATCCCGAACATTTTGTAAAATATGACAATATCAGAACCAGAAACAAAAGTGATATGGTTCAAAAGACTAGAAAAGATCGACTTTGACAATAGACGCATCCCACTGGGAAAACAAACATGGAGGTTTGGTGTTCACTTTTTAGGAAAATCCTTCCCGGTATGAATTGCGCAATGACCGGAAGTCTGAGATTCTTGATGCGTCTGTACTAGTATGTACAGTACAGTCTCTGGTTTGGATGACTTGAAGAGTAAAACTTTAACTGTACACGCTGTAACTGTGAGTTGGAAAAGACAAACTGTTAAATAAAGCATCACAGAGGAAAGCTGCCAGCGCGAGCCGATAACCTTGAGCTTGAGCTGTTTAAAGATCGATAGTTTCCCTTCTCACGAAAAATGGTTTTATTCAGTCCACTTTGATATTTGAGATATTAAACGAGTCCATGAACGCTCACATGACCCCGGCGAGGACAACGTAGAGGTTTGTCGTTGTCTGTGAGTGCCGCTGGGGGCTGGGGCGTCCACGCAGATTCAACCTAAACCTGGAGGAAATGAAATCTAAAGTAAAGCTAAACAAAAAACTCAAAATTAAAACTCAAAATGATCCTGTACGAGTCATTTAAAAAACTCCAGATATTCAGTTTATTTCAGTGGGAAAGCACACCTACGCCCGCGTCGCCCACACGCCCACACGCTCTTCTGTGACACTGCGTCAGGGTCTCCAACCTTTTTCCTCCGTTGAGCCTTTGCAAAACAAAAATACCAGAGCGCTACTCGTTGTGTCATGTTGAAATAGTGTTTCTTGCCGCCGACCAAAATAATTCCCAGCATGCAACGCGCGCTTTTGTCAACAATGAAACTCGCCTATACTGACCGACTACACACTTCTCATGTAAAGTAAAAGGTGCGGTGACCAGACGTCCGTTTACCCGGGACAGTCCCAGTCTTGAGTTTCCCTGTGTCCCCTGTCCCAGCAGATTCATCCAAAACCACTGATTTGTCCCAGTTTTATTCAAGAAATGTCCCAGGTTTCCCTATTTTTGACCAATTCGATCCCTGCCAACAATAAACAGAGGCATACATTGTCATTTTTTTTAGGTAAAATACAGAAAAGCTGCTTAAAAACGACCAAAACACAAACAAAATGTGACTGTACTGACTCACATGTTTGTCATGAATGGGCTGAGTGCAGAACAATTTTCCTTAATTATGCACATCCAGAGTTTTTTTTTTTTTTGGTGGCTGGTAATAGTAAAATTGTAAAACGAGTGCATAATTAAGGAGAATTGTCATGCAGAGTCCATTCATGATGAACATGTGTGTCAGTATAGTCACATTTTGGTTGTGGTTTTGGTCGTTTTTAAGCAGCTTTTCTGTATTTTACCTAAACAAATCACAACGTATGTCTCTCTTTACCGTTGGCAGGGATCAAATTGGTCAAGAATTGGGACACCTGGGTCATTTCTTGTCAAAATGGATTTTGACCAGACAAATACAATTCATGCTTCACTGGTTTTAGCCCTGAAATAGTCTGATTTTAACCTTAGTTTATTGCTGATATAGTCCTAGTTTAGTCCTGGTTTAGACCTACTTTAGTCCTAGTTTAGATCTGATATAGTCATGATTTAGACCTGAAATAGTTCTGGTTTAGTCCTGGTTTACTCGTGGTTTAGACCTGATATAGTCCTGGTTTAGTCCTAGTTTAAACCTGGTTTAGACCTACTTTAGTCCTCGTTTAGACCTGATATAGTCCTGATTTAGACCTGAAATAGTTCTGGTTTAGTCCTGGTTTACTCGTGGTTTAGACCTGATATAGTCCTGGTTTAGTCCTAGTTTAGATCTGATATAGTCCTATTTTAGCACTAGTTTAGTCGTAGTTTAGACCTGATATAGTCCTGATTTAGACCTGAAATAGTCTTGGTTTAGTCCTTGTTTAGACCTGATATAGTCCTGGTTTAGATCTGAAATAGCCCTAGTATAGTCCTAATTTAGTCCTCTTTTAGAACTGAAATAGTCCTGGTTTAGTCGTACTTTAGTCCTAGTTTAGTCCTGGTTTCGTCCTTGTTTAGTCCTGGTTTAGACCTACTTTAGACCTAGTTTAGATCTGATATAGTCCTATTTTAGCTCTAGTTTAGTCCTGATTTAGACCTAAAATAGTTCTGGTGTAGTCCTACTTTAGTCCTCATTTAGTCCTGGTTTCGTCCTTGTTTAGTTCTGGTTTAGACCTAGTTTAGTCCTGGTTTAGTCCTTGTTTAGACATGATATAGTCCTGGTTTAGCCCTAGATTAGTAGTTTTGTCCTGGTTTAGACCTGAAATAGTTCTGGTTTAGTCATACTTTAGTCCTAGTTTAGTCCTGGTTTAGCCCTAGTTTAGTCCTGGTTTAGACCTGATTTATCCCGATTTTAGCCCTCGTTTAGACCTGAAATAGTCTTGGTTTAGATCAAACTGGTCCAAAATGGGGACACCTGGGACATTTCCCAGGTAAACAGGGACGTCTGGTTGCCCTATTCTAGTAAAAGTTCATTTCAGTTCAGCTTCATATCCTGACCTGGTTTAGACCTGACTAGTCAAAAACTGGGACTAATCAGTGGTTTTGTATAAATCTGCTGGGACAGGGGACACAGGACTCAAAACTGGGACTGTCCCGGGTAAATAGGGACGTCTGGTCGCCCTAAACATTGTCCATTCTTAACTAATCTGACTTCTGACGGTTCTATTTTTGTCTTATAGTCATTTTCAAGCTCAAATTTCTGGATTTTAGCGAAACAAATGATAATATATTCTCCTCTTTACTGTTGGTGGGGATAAAAATGGTCAAAATAGAGACACCTGGGACATTTCTTCTCAAAAACTGGGACAAATCACTGGTTTTGTATAAATCTTCAGGGACTGTCCCGGGTAAACGGGGACGTCTGGTCACTCTGTGTAGGAAACTGAACTGAAATGAACTTTTACTAAGATAAAGTGACCAGACGTCCCTGTTTACCTGGGAAATGTCCCAGGTGTCCCCATTTTGGACCAATTTGATCTAAACCAAGACTATTTCAGGTCTAAACTAGGGCTAAAATCGGGATAAAACAGGACTAAACCAGGACTATTACAGGTCTAAACAAGGATTAACTAGGACTAAACTATGACTAACCCAGGACAATATTAGGTCTAAAGGAGGACTGAAACTAGGACCAAACCGGGACTATTTCAGGTCTAAACTAGGGCTAAACCAGGACTAAACTAGGGCTAAAATAGAACTATATCTGGACTATATCAGCACTAAACTAGGACTAAACATGGACTAAAACAAGACTATTTCAGGTCTAAATCAGGATTACACTAGGGCTAAAATAGGACTAATCTCAGACTAAACCAGGACTATTTCAGGTCTAAACCAGGACTAAACTTGGGCACAAGCTAGGACTAAACTGGGACTATTTCAGGTCTAAACTAGGGCTAAACCAGGACTAAACTAGGGCTAAAATAGAACTATATCTGGACTATATCAGCACTAAACTAGGACTAAACATGGACTAAACCAGGACTATTTCAGGTCTAAACCAGGACTGAATTAGGGCTAAACCAGGACTAAACTAGGGCTAAAATAGGATTATATCAGGTCTAAACCAGGACCAAGACTATTTCAGGTCTAAATCAGGATTACACTAGGGCTAAAATAGGACTAATCTCAGACTAAACCAGGACTATTTCAGGTCTAAACCAGGACTAAACTTGGGCACAAGCTAGGACTAAACTGGGACTATTTCAGGTCTAAACTAGGGCTAAACCAGGACTAAACTAGGGCTAAAATAGGACTATATCAGGACTAAACTTGGACTAACCTTGAACTAAACCAGAACTATTTCAGGTCTAAACCAGGACTGAATTAGGGCTAAACCAGGACTAAACTAGGGCTAAAATAGGATTATATCAGGTCTAAACCAGGACTAAACAAAAACTAAACCAGGACTAAACTAGGGCTAAAATAGGACTATGTCAGCACTATATCAGATCTAAACTATGAGTAAACTACAACAAAACCAGGATTATTTTAGGTCTAAACTAGGGTTAAACTAGGACTAAAATAGGACTATAGCAGGACTAAACTTGGACTAACCTTGGACTAAACCAGGACTATTTCAGGTCTAAACCAGGACTAAACTTGGGCACAAGCTAGGACTAAACTGGGACTATTTCAGGTCTAAACTAGGGCTAAACCAGGACTAAACTAGGGCTAAAATAGGACTATATCAGGACTAAACTTGGACTAACCTTGGACTAAACCAGGACTATTTCAGGTCTAAACCAGGACTGAATTAGGGCTAAACCAGGACTAAACTAGGACTAAATCAGGACTAAACTAGGGCGAAAATAAGACTGTATCAGGTCTAAATCAGGTCTAGGTCTAAACCAGGACTAAATCAGGATTAAAATAGGACTATTTCAGGTCTAAACCAGGTGAAGCATAAAGTGCATTTGTTGGGCTGAAACACAGAAAATTGTGCTTCTGTGTTTTGTCTGAGGTTAAACACTGATCCACACGTGAGTCAAGGATGGACAATACTACATTATTATTATTATTATTATTATTATTATTATTATTATTATTATTATTATTTTTTTTCCACTTCTTTGACTTTTTCACGTCTGTGTCTCGGTTTAAAACCTTGTAAATCTTCTCTTAAATCTCCAGTAAAGTTCACTTCAGTTCATCTTCCTCTTCTGTCTCTTGTTTTGGTTTTAGCTCCGGCGCAGCCCCCGATGCTAACAGCACAAAGTTTAGTTCACACTTCACAAATGTATTTTTCACACTCTGAGACGTGTCACACGCGACGCCTGCAGTTCACACAAACTGAATACGTCTCTTATTACACATTAGCTGTCATCTTGATCAGTTTCTGCAAAGTTTTTTCAGATTTTTCGCTCCAAACTTGCGCGCTCCGGGGTTAGCTGTGATGCTAGCGCCGCGGACTGACGCCTGGTGTTACTCATTAGCCTGAAGTGGGACGAACGGATCCGGTGTGGACAAATAAACCAGCTGCTTGTCACCGGACTTAGACCCGGGGAGATGTCAATGGAAGCATTCAGAGCCCAAGCCAAGACAGACAGCGGCAGTGCGTGCGTAAAAACCTCCAAGAACGTCTCCAAAACGCGCCGTTCCTCCGCGCGTCTCGCCTCTCCAAACTTCTCCGGTCCATGGATTTTCAACAACTTTGCACTTTCGACTTTTTTACTCAAGTCTCGGATCAGTATGGATACGGGGGAGACTTCCAGGAGGTCGTGGAGAAGGAGTTCAAGCGGAGTAAAGGTAATGAGACTAAACCAGGACTATTTCAGGTCTAAACCAGGACTAAACTTAGGCGAAAATAGGAGTATTTCAGGTCTAAAGCAGGACTATATCAGGTCTAAACCAGGACTAAACATGGGCTAAAATAGGACTGTATTAGGTCTCAACCAGGACTATTTCAGGTCTAAACCAGGACTAAATTAGGGCTAAAACAGGACTATATCAGGTCTAAATCAGAACTAAACTTGGGCTAAACCAGGTCTAAACCAGGTCTAAACTAGGACTAAACTTGGGTTAAAACAGGACTAAACTAGGACTAAACTTGGGCTAAAACAGGACTATTTCAGGACTAAACCAGGACTATATCAGGTCTAAACCAGGACTTTATCAGGTCTAAACCAGGACTTTATCAGGTCTAAACCAGGGCTAAATCAGGACTATATCAGGTCTAAACCAGGACTTTATCAGGTCTAAACCAGGGCTAAACCAGGACTATATCAGGTCTAAACCAGGGCTAAACCAGGACTATATCAGGTCTAAACCAGCTCTAAATCAGGACTAAACTGGGGCTAAAATAGGACTATTTTAGGTCTAAACCAGGACTAAACCAGCACTAAACTGGGGCTTAAAATAGGAGTATTTCAGGTCTAAACCAAGTTTATATCAGGTCTAAACCAGGACTATATCAGGTCTAAACCAGAACTACTTCAGGTCTAAACCAGGACTAAACTTGGGCTGAAACAGGACTATTTCAGGTCTAAATCAGTCCAAGCAGAGTAGAGGTAGTGGTTTCGTTCAGGCGTGAGAGGAGAGGTCCCTCGGGGGCAGATCAGGTCGTGGTGCCCGGTGGAGTGCGCTCTTTACGCGGCGTGGATGTGTCCTTCCTGGGGAGACTAGACGCTTCTATTTACCCAGGACAGTTCCAGTTTTCAGTCCTGTGTCCTCTGTTTCTGCAGATTTATTACAAAAACAGTGATTTGTCCCAGTTTTATACAAGAAATGTCCCAGGTGTCTCTATTTTTGACCAATCTGATCTAAACCAGGAGTAAACTAAGCCTAAACCAGGACTATTTCAGGTCTAAACCAGGATTATACCAAGATTAAACCGGGTTTAAACCAGGACTTAATTAGGGGTAACATAGGCCTAAACCAGGACTAAACTTTGGGGAAATAGGACTAAACCAGGTCTAAACCAGGACTAAACATGGGCTAAGGTCTAAACCAGAACTAAATCAGGTCTAAACCAGGCTTATATCAGGTCTAAACCATGACTATATCAGGTCTAAACTAGGTATAAACCAGGTCTATACTGGGTCTAAACCAGGACTAAACATAGGCTAAGGTCTAAACCAGAACTAAATCAGGTCTAAACCAGGCTTATATCAGGTCTAAACTAGGTATAAACCAGGTCTATACTGGGTCTAAACCAGGACTAAAATAGGACTAAACCAGGACTAAACCAGGCCTAAACCAGAACTAAACCAGGACTAACCCAGGACTAATCTTGAGCTAAGATAGGACTGTTTCAGCTGTAAACCAGGACGACACTTGGGCTAAAATAGGACTATTTCAGGTCTAAACCAGGACTAAAACTGGACTATCACAATTTTTGACTAATCTGATCCCCTCCAACAGAAAATAGGAACCTAAATTGTCATTTGTTTTGCCAAAATGCAGAAAACCGTGTTGAATGCGCATGACCTTAAAACCAAAAAAATGCAGAGACAGAAGTTCCTCACATTATAACTGACACGAGAATGCACAACGTTACGCTCGCTTTTTTCAGTTTTATTTACACCAACCGTAGTGTGACAGACGTCTCTGTTTACCCGGGACAGGCCCAGTTTTGAGTCCTGTGTCCCTTGTCCCAGCGGATTTATACAAAACCACTGATTTGTCCCAGGTTTATACAAGAAATGTCCCAAGTGTCGCTATTTTTATCAATCTGATCTAAACCAGGAGTAAACTAAGATTAAACCAGGACTATTTCAGGTTTAAACCAGGACTTACTATATCAGGTCTAAACTAAGACTAAATTAGGTTTAAACCAGAACTAAACTAGGGCTAAAATAGGACTATATCAGATCTAAACCAGGTTTAAACCAGAACTAAACCAGGACTAACCCAGGACTAATTTTGGGCTAAAATAGGACTATATCAGTTGTAAATCAGGTATAAACCAGGACTAAACCAGGACTAAACTAGGGCTAAAATAAGACTATATCAGGACTAAACCAGGGCTAAACCAGGGCTAAACAAGGTCTAAACCAGGACTTAACTAGGTCTAACATAGGGCTAAACCAGGACTATATCAGGTCTAAACCAGGACTACACTTGGGCTAAAATAGGACTAAATCAGGACTAAACCAGGTCTAAACCAGAACTAAACCAGGACTAACGCAGGACTAATCTTGGGCTAAAATAGTACTATTTCAGGTCTAAACCAGGACTAAAACTGGACTATCACAATTTTTTACTAATCTGATCCCCTACAACAGAAAGTAGGAACCTAAATTGTTATTTGTTTGGCCAAAATACATAAAACCGTATTGAATGCGCGTGACCTTAAAACCAAAAAAATGCAGGGACAGAAGTTCCCCTGTCCCAGCAGATTTATACAAAACCACTGATTTGTCCCAGTTTTATACAAGAAATGTCCCAAGTGGCGCTATTTTTTACCAATTTTATATCTGCCAACAGTAAAGAAAAGCATAAATTGTCAATTGTTTTGGTAAAATACAGAAAAGCTGCTTAAAAACGACCAAAACACAAAGAAAATGTGACTGTACTGGGTCATTTGTTGGTCATGAATGGTGTCTGCAGAAGAGTTTTCCTTAATTCCGCACTCGTTTCACAATTTTATTATTACCAGCCACCAAAAAAAAGAGTATGTCCTAGTTTTTTTATTTGGAAAATCTAGTCCTTTACCTCCCGTTGTCTCTTCTCTCTTGCACGGATCTGAACGTCTCTGTGTTGTGAACAGGAATCACGTATCTGGATCACGCCGGCACCACGCTGTACCCGGAGTCTGCGGTCCAGAGCTTCTGCCAGGACATCAGCACCAGTCTGTACGGTGAGGCTCTCAGTTTGGTAATACAGAGTGACCAGACCAGGCCCAGCTGACCCGGGACAGGCCCAGTTAACCCGGGACAGGCCCAGTTGACCCGGGACAGGCCCAGTTGACCCGGGACAGGCCCAGTTTTGAGTCCTGTGTCCAATGTCCCAGTGGATTTAGACAAAACCACTGATTTGTCCCAGTTTTATACAAAAAATGTCCCGGATGTCACGATTTTTGACCAATTTAATCTAAACAAGGAGTAAACAAAGACTAAACCAGGACTATATCAGGTCTAAACCAGGACGAAATGAGGACTATACCAGGACTAAACCAAATCTAAACCAGGTCAAAACCGAGGACAAAACTAGGGCTAACACAGGGCTAAAATAGGACTATATCAGGTCTAAACCAGGTCTAAACCAGGACTAAACTTGGGCTATAATAGGACTATATCAGGTCTAAACCAGGTCTAAACTTGGACTAAACTTGGGCTATAATAGGACTATATCAGGTCTAAACCAGGTCTAAACTTGGACTAAACTTGGGCTATAATAGGACTATATCAGGTCTAAACCAGGTCTAAACTTGGGCTAAAATAGGACTATATCAGGTCTAAACCAGGTCTAAACTTGGACTATATCAGGTCTAAACCAGGTCTAAACTTGGGCTAAAATAGGACTATATCAGGTCTAAACCAGGTCTAAACTTGGGCTAAAATAGGACTATATCAGGTCTAAACCAGGTCTAAACTTGGACTATATCAGGTCTAAACCAGGTCTAAACTTGGGCTAAAATAGGACTATATCAGGTCTAAACCAGGTCTAAACTTGGACGATATCAGGTCTAAACCAGGTCTAAACTTGGGCTAAAATAGGTCTAAACCAGGTCTAAACCAGGTCTAAAGTAGGACTAAACTTGGGCTAAGATAGGACTATTTCTTTAGGTCTAAACCAGGTCTAAACTTGGACTAAAATGAGACTATATCAGGTCTAAACCAGGACTATATCAGGTCTAAACCAGGTCTAAACTTGGACGATATCAGGTCTAAACCAGGTCTAAACTTGGGCTAAAATAGGTCTAAACCAGGTCTAAACCAGGTCTAAAGTAGGACTAAACTTGGGCTAAGATAGGACTATTTCTTTAGGTCTAAACCAGGTCTAAACTTGGACTAAAATGAGACTATATCAGGTCTAAACCAGGACTATATCAGGTCTAAACCAGTTTTAAACCAGGACTAAACTTGGGCTAAGATAGGACTATTTCAAGTCTAAACCAGGACTATATCAGGACTAAACCATTGATTTATCTCAGTTTTATACAAGAAAATTCCCAAATGTCCCTATTTTTTGACCAGTCTGATCCCTGCCAACAATAAAGAGAGACTTAAATTGTGTTTTGTTTTGTTAAAGTACAGATCATTAGTAAAGACAACGTACATAAACAACCACATATATTTATTTAAACTGTGTAATGAGTTAATAAGTTTATCTTCTTCCCGCTGCTTTTCCACAAATGTGTTTTCTATTGTTTACAGTGTGTGTGATTGCCAAAAGAGAAACACAAACTCGAAATAAAAAACAAATCAATCAGGAATTGTACTTTTCGGAGTACTCTCCCAGCTGTATTTCAATGCCAACGTTTTACATTATTTATACTGATCAATATCAAATAACCTTTAACTAAATCAGAACTAAAAAAGAAAAATAATAATAATGTGATTTGTTCATACTTTTTAAAATACCTGTTTTTCTGTACATACACTGAAATATAACGTAAAATAATAAGGAAAATTAATGAATTAGTTCCTTGGTCCTCGTCTGTATTTTACTGCCTGTATCCAGTGTTGGGAAGGTGACTTTTAAAATGTAATCCCCTACAGATTACAGATTACATACCCCAAAATGTAGTTTGTAACGTAATCTATTAAATGACTTAAAGTGAGTAATGTAATCTGAATACTTTGGATTACGTGATTTGCTGTAGAGAAACAAAGACTAGGATATCGTAACATAAGATGTTTTGTTTTATCTGCTAAAAGAAAATAAAAAGCCCAAACTTTATTTAACCAATTTAAAAATATTATTGAAGAGGAGAAGACAGCAGCATGATTTAGTCCTGTTTTAATCCAGTTAAATCCTGTTTTAGTCCTGGTTTAGTCCTGGTTTTAGTCTTGGTTTAGTCTTGGATTTAGACCTGTTTTTAGACCTGTTTTAGACCTAGTTTTAGTCCTGGTCAAGTCTTGGTTTTAGACCTGGTTTAGTCCTGGTTTAGATCTAGTTTAGATCTAGTTTAGACCTGGTTTTAGTCCTGGTTTAATCTTGGATTTAGACCTGTTTTTAGACCTGTTTTTAGACCTGTTTTAGACCTAGTTTTAGTCCTGGTCGAGTCTTGGTTTTAGACCTGGTTTAGTCCTGGTTTAGATCTAGTTTAGATCTAGAGACCTGGTTTTAGTCCTGGGTTAGACCTGTTTTAGTCCTGGTTTTAGTCCTGGTTTAGTCTTGGATTTAGACCTGTTTTTAGACCTGTTTTAGACCTAGTTTTAGTCCTGGTCGAGTCTTGGTTTTAGACCTGGTTTAGTCCTGGTTTAGATCTAGTTTAGACCTGGTTTTAGTCCTGGGTTAGACCTGTTTTAGTCCTGGTTTTAGTCCTGGTTTAGTCTTGGATTTAGACCTGTTTTAGTCCTGGTTTAGACCTGGTTTAGTTTCTGGCAACAACAACAAAAAAGGGGGATATCACCCAAAATGTGAAAACAGGAAAATCCCTCTGTGTAATCCATTTATTTCAACAAAGTAACTGTAATCCAATTACCACTCACTGAAACAGTAACTGTAACTGAATACAGTTACTCATCATTTGTACTCTGATTACATAACTCCGGTACATGTAATCTGTTACTCCCCAACACTGCCTGTATCTTAAGTTAAGGTAAAGGTGACAGAACATAGACCATATGTTTTGTCTTTTTATAAGCCTGTTCCAACAGTTTTTATAGAGTAACTTCTTGAAGTACTTTAACGTATTTTTTTACTGTATAAGTGGCACTTTTTTTCATGGTTTGGGTGTTTCCTTTGACTTATTCTCCGGTGCGACTTATAGATTAAAATGTTCAGATTGACAGCCGCGAGCATGTCTCCTGCAGAAAGAGCCTCTGTTCTGTCTGTATCATGTCAGTCGATCGCACCAGTACTTCTGCACCACTGAACTATTTAACATTTAAACAAACTTATTAAAAACAGGTCTGAACTTGGGCTAAGATAGGACTATGTCAGGTCTAAACCTGGACTATGTCAGGTCTAAACCTGGACTATGTCAGGTCTAAACCAGGTCTAAACCATGACTACACTTGCGCTAAGATAGGACTATATCTGGCCTAAACCAGGTCTAAACCAGGTCTAAACCAGGACTACACTTGGGCTAAGATAGGACTTTATCAGGTCTAAACCAGGACTATGTCAGGTCTAAACTTGGGCTAAAATAGGACTATTTCAGGTCTAAACCAGGACTATGTCAGGTCTAAACCACCTCTAAATCAGGACTACACTTGTGCTAAGATAGGACTTTATCAGGTCTAAACCAGGTCTAAACCAGGTCTAAACCACCTCTAAACCAGGACTAAACTTGGGCTAAAATAGGACTATTTCAGGTCTAAACCAGATCTTATAAAGACGACTGAGAAGACTGAACACAACTGCTCCCAAAAAGAAAATCAGATTTTGCAGATTACAAACTGCAAGTCGTGAAATCTGCATCTGAAAACGAAAATCGAGCAGCAGAAAGAAAGTTTGGAGTGAGAGAGAAACTTGTGACACCAGGAGGATGAACCATGAAACTTTCCTGAAGTCACTGGATGGATGGACAAAGTCTGGACTTCAGTGACACCGAAACCATCCTGTCGGGATTCAGAAAGACCCGAATAATTCTAACTGGAACTGATGCTGAGTCTGACGACAGCGACACAGAAGAGTTTGCGTCGCTCTGTTTACCTCCGGAGGTCGAGGAGTTGTTCAGAAGTGACACCGAGGATGAAGAATTGAATGGATTTAGTGATTTGGAGTGAGATGGAGAGTTTGTTAAACTTGTTCTGTTCTGTTGTTTATGTTATAGTTTATCTGAAGAACTGTTCATATGTGACGTTAACAGTCTGTTGTTTTCTCTTCTATTGTTTTTACTACAACTTCACTTTCAAGATGAAATGTAGGTTCCTGGTCTCTGATTTTATAAAATAAATTTCCCCCAAAAAGATATAAATAAAAAACTTATAGTCCGGTGCGACTTTTTGTTTTTTTCTTCTTCATTGACAATTTTTGGCTGGTGCGACTTATACTCCGGAGTAGGGATGGGCATGATTAGTCGATTAATCGATAATTGATCATTAAGAATTTCATCGATTACGTTCATTTTAATGGACAAACTGAATGTATGTTTCTGTGTGTGTCGTGACCAAACAGGTGTGTACATGTGTCTCTGCATCAGAAGGAGCGAGACACAAACAGTGGGTCAGTCTGTAACGAACCGAAGCACAAATGTGGATTTAACCAGGATTTGTACAAGAAATTCCACACTTTCCGTTGCGTTGGGACAAGTGTGAGTCCATGTGCACAGTGGATAAAGCAGCACATATGTTTCTGTGTCCAGTGGGAAAAAGTTTTTCCAGGTGAGAGTCGCTCAATGTGGATGACGAGGCCCCGCCCCCCTCCCCCCGTACGCTGTCCTGGTTTTGACAAACACAAATCTGGTCACACTGACCTGTATTCACCTGAGTCATGTCTTTGAACCACATCAGCGACACAAGAGCTGGAGTTTTTTTTTTCTTCACTTAGTTTATGTAAATTAGTGATGTGGTTTTAAGTTTTGTTTCTGTGAGATTTGAACAAAACTGAATTAAACACATTATAATGTCAAACAGCTGATGTGGATCTAGAGTCGTTACGTGTTGTAAAGTTGAATTTATTTATGCAGATTAGTGCAGATAGTAATAATAATGATGATCATTTTAATATAAAAACGTTAATGATTAATCGATAATCGATTGTTAATTCTTCCGACGATCGATTAAGAAAATTTCATCGAATGCCCGTCCCTAGTCCGGAGCGACTTATAGTCCGAAAAATACGATATTTGAGTAATATTATAATACATACATACATACATTTATTTCAATACTATTTTTGGCTCCTCTACGTCCCTCTGAACTTGGGACTAAACCTGAACTAAACCAGCACTAGAACAGGATAAAACTAAATCTATAAAATAAATATGAACTGGGCTAAAACCAGCGAATACCTCCTTGTGTTTTCTTGTCATGTTTTCCTTTAAGTTTACATTTTATCTCACACGAACGCAGCACTTTAACTCTTTTACAGGAGCGATTTATGACAGAACTTTGACTCAGTAAATCTCCAACGAACAGGCCAGCTCTTTTCTTCTTTCTTTTCTGATTGTTAGAGGTAAAAGAACAAAAATAATCTCAATTATTTCAATCTGTAAAACAAAAACACAGTGCTTTTTTTCAGCTCTCATTCAGATTTGATTTCATCACCGTTAAATTATTCACACGGTTTAACAAAGTGAATGAAAGAAAATTAAGGATTTCACTGTTTGTCATTCTGGAAATAATAATTAAATTGTGGTGTTTCTTCTCTAAAATTTGATATTGGGATCCAAGTTCGTTTTTTTAACATTCTCAAAACAAACGCTCGACACTTTGCACTTTTTTAATTTTTCTGTAAACCTCCAAGTCTTTGTCTCTTTCAAAAGTATAAATATATAATTCACAAATACAGGAAGTATCTATTGAACAGCTCTTTTATAAGTGCAATTAATCATGTTTTATTTTTCATCTCGCCCCATCACAGTTTCAATCATTATCGTTTTTTAATAAAGACAAACGGCTTTTGATATATCGATTTCATAAAGATAAAAATACAGACTTTTAATCACTGACAAAGTTGCGTCCCGGCTCGACTCGGGTCAGGGAAGTAACAAAAACGGAGACTGAAAATGGGATAAATGAAGTAATAATTTAATTAACAGGAACGTAGCAGATAAAATAGTGAAAATGATCTAAAATATAACAAGATTAACATATAAACGAGTCACGTACGTCTTTAAAAAAACAAACAAAAACAAAAAAAGAGTGACTAAACTAAGGGACACAAAAAACAAAACTATTTACGTGGGACAGTCCCAGTTTTGAGCAATTTACACAAAACCAGTGATTTTTTTTGTTTGTTCAAGGTTTATTTATTCACAAAAACAATAACACAACAGGTCTTCGTAATTTTTAAGTTTTTCTCCCTAGTCTGATTCATCGGCCAGTTTCACTTTGGAAACCGTGTGACCTCGCAGCGTTAGGATCCGTTCGCTCGACAGGTACAAGAAATAAACATTGATGAAATGAATCGATAAATAATCCATCCATCCATTTTCTTGCGTTTATCTGGGGCCCGGTCACGGGGGCAGCAGTCTAAGCAGGGACTCCCAGACTTCCTTCATCCCAGACACTTCCTCCAGCTCGATAAATAGTGACAACAGAAAATAAACCTCGTAGAAAAATAAATACAAATAAATGATATAAATAAATTAAGCTGTTAAGAAATAAATAAATTTAAATACATTATTATTATTATTATTATTATATTTTATTTTTATTATTTTTTTATTGTTGATAATAATAATAATATAAAATTATAAATTAAAGTACATTTATGCAATTTCACTTGGTTCCATGGTTTGAAAATAAGACAAAAATGGATTCCAGATTGTATTTTTTTTTTTTTACTGAGCCTTTGTTTGTTTACCTGATTTTCTCCACTTGAGAGCCAAAACCAGTGATTTGTCCCAGTTTTATACAAGAAATGTCCCAGACATAAGTTGTTATTTGTTTTGTTAAAATGACAGAAAAGCTGCTTAAAAATGTCCAAAACACAAAGAAAATCTGACTATACTGACTCACATTAGTGCCGAGTGCAACAATTTTCCTTCATTACACACTTCACAGTTTTATTATTACCAACCAAACCAAAACAGAGACGTCCCAGTTTTTTATTTTGAAAATGTGGTTATTTCAATTTCAATATTTTCAATATTATTTCAATCTGTAAACCAAGACACGGCGCTTTTTATTCGTCTGTTTTTGTCACATTAACTTCACGCATCATTCAGGTTTTATTTCATCACTATTAAATTATCCACACGGTTTGGCAAAGTGAATAAACAAAACTAAAATATAAAGTCACATAAACCCATAAACAGAATCGAGTGAGAACTAAAAAGACACACAAAAGAACTACCGTATTTTTCGGACTATTAAGTCGCACCGGAGTATAAGTTGCAATTTTGAGGGAAATTTATTTCAGAGACCAGGAAATCGACAGACATATTTCAGTACTTGCAGTTTGTAATTTGAAATTAAATCTGAAACATAAATGACGAGAAGAAATGTCTCAGATTTCAGTAGCCAGACGTCCACAGACAGGACAGAGACTCTTTCTGCAGGAGACATGCGCACACTAGACTAGAGCGCCCTCTCACGGCTGTCAGTCTGAAAATAACAAACATGTGAAAAAATTATGTTTTAATATTTAGGTCGCACCTGAGTATAAGTCGCAGAAAACACCCAAACCATGAATAAAAGTCTTGTAGTCCGAAAAATACAGTAGTTTATTTTTCTTCGGTCAGTTAACATAATCATTATATTACAAAAACTTACCGTGTTTTTTGGACTATTAAGCTGCGTTCAGACTGCAGCCTGAAGTGACCCAAATCAGATTTTTTGGCTCTATGTTCCTGTATCTGATCTTTTAATGTCAGTCTGAACCACACAGATCTGATTTTTTTTCAAATGTGACCCAGGACACTTGGATATGTGCTCCTGAAACTGATACATATCTGATCTTTTGACATGTGACTTCAGTCTGAACGGCCAAAGTGCATTCATCCACCTACACGTTATCAACAAGACACAAACGTCACTATTCTGCGCTGAAGTAGGAGAAAATTGTTAATGAACTCCGTGTCACTGAAGTGAAGCACATCACCACTCACCACTCTTGGCTCCGTCTCCACATCCACACGTTCCTTTCAACGGACTGAACCACAAAACACCACGACCAAAAACCTCGTCCTTCTCCTTCTCAATCTCCTCCTTAAAACAAGTAAGTTGTTCATGTTCTGGCTCCGGTACGAGAGGAACTTTAAAATCTCCAGGTGCTCGATGCTGCGTCCATGTTTGGACAACTTCTGTAAACACAGAGACGCTCGCTGCGGTTGACGTCGTCGTGTCTCCAGTGTCACATGTGGGACACTTTTGGGCCGTTTAACGTTCACACTGGAGTCACATACAAGTCACATTTAATTGGAAATGTGAACGACCTCGAAAAAACATCGGATTTCACAAAAAAATCGGAATTTAGCGTTAAACCCTGCAGTCTGAACATAGACTTAGTCGCTCTGGACTATAAGTCGCAGCAGCCAAAAAATGTGTTATGAAGAAGAAAAAAACAAATATAAGTCTCACCGGAGTATAAGTTGCACTTTTTGGGGGAAATGTATTTTGTAAAATCAGAGACCAGGAACTGACATTTCATCTTTAAATGCAAGTTGTAGTAAAAACAATAGAAGAGAGAACAACAGACTGTTAACGTCACATATGAACAGTTCTTCAGATAAACTATAACATAAACAACAGAACAGAACAAGTTTAACAAACTCTCCATCTCACTCCAAATCACTAAATCCATTCAATTCGACCTCTGGAGGTAAACAGACGCCGCTTCCTCTTCTGTGTCGCTGTCGTCAGACTCAGCATCAGTTCCAGTTAGAATTATTCGGGTCTTTCTGAATCCCGACAGGATGGTTTCTGTGTCACTGAAGTCCAGACTTTGTCCATCCGTCCAGTGACTTCAGGAAAGTTGGATGTATGTTTCTCTCTCACTCCAAACTTTCTTTCTGCTGCTTGATTTCTGTTTTCAGTTGCAGATTTTGCTTCTTGCAGTTTGTAATCTGCAAAATCTGATTTTGTTTTTGTGTTCATTTGTGGTCAGTCTTCTCAGTCTTTGTCTTTATAAGCTTGTTTAAATATTAAATTGTTCAGTGGTGCAGAGGTAACGGTGCGATCCACTGACGTGATACAGACAGGACAGAGGCTCTTTCTGCAGGAGACATGCGCAGTAGAGCCAAGCGACAGTGGTACAGGAGGAACAGGAGCAGCAGATACTCACACACAAGACTAGAACCTCTCCACGCTTCACTGAAACATTTTAATATAGAAGTCACAATGAAAACACCCAAACTATGAAAAAAAGTTCCACTTATAATCTGAAAAATACAGTAAACACAGCCAATTACACAGCCATAGCCCTATTTCATCCTCTATATGGATCCTAGTAATTATTATGCAGCCCAGTGTCTCTTCATACTTCAACAAAACAAAGTGAAAAACAAAGGCCACCAAATGCAGTCGCCGTGAATCCATTATTGTTTTTTTGTTGACAGTACGGGAGCGTAGCGGGCCCATTGCTTTGCCGCCGTCTTTAAAGAGAGAATCCGGTGACAGCTATATTCTCTAATATCTCCTCACAGGACCACTTGGCCTTTGAATACACAGCCTTTACCCGAGTCTTTTTGGCGTTTTATCTATAATTGAACCAAATGCTCTTTCCTCGGTGAGGGAGTGACATAAAAACAGACATTACTTTGATTTGGGATCCACTGCCGCCGTTTAAAGTGTGTTGTATTTGTCCCCACAGGAAACCCGCACAGCCACAGCCCGAGCAGCAGACTGACACATGACACCGTGGAGAGGGTCAGATACAGGTAACGCGCTCTCACACCAGCCGCACGCGCTGCTTTTAACGGACTCGTAACTGCTTTTGCGGACCTCTGCAGGGAACGCGAGAACTGAACCAGGACTAAAACCGGTCTAAAGTAAACAAGGACTGAACTAGGGATTAACTGCAGACGATTACAACAGCGAGACGAGACGAGGACGGAGGTAAAACTTTAGCCGGGACTGTAGTGACACTAAACCAAGAAAGAAAGCGGGTTAGTTAATTAGTGACGGTATTTTTCGGGCTGTAAGTCGCTCTGGACAATAAGTCACACCAGCCAAAAAATGTAGAATGAAGTAGAAGAAAACATAGATAAGTCGCATTTTTTGGGAGGAAATACATTTTTATAAAATCAGAAACCAGGAACCGACATTTTATGTTGAAAGGCAAATTATAGTACCGTAAATTCCGGACTATAAGCCACTACTTTTTTCTCACACTTCGAATCCTGTGACTAATAAAACGATGCGGTGAATAAATGGATGGATTCTTTGTTTGGCACATTTTCCAATCATTAACACGGTCTATGGTAACACCTTGGATCCACGTGCAGCCTGATTTCAAAAAACGCCGCTGTCCGTGCGGTTACACATGGATCTAGGGTTAACATGAAGTTGCTGCACTCACTGGTGATATTGTCAGTAGTGCTGTCAGGCGATTAAAAAAATTGAGAGATTAATTAATTATGATCTGTAATTAATGAATCTAATTAATCTCTTTTTAATCTCACCTAAAAAATGCTGAGAAAAGCCTTCAACTTGAGGTATTTTCATTTAAATTCATTATTACATTATTATTATTACATATAAACCATGAACACTCTAGAGCACAGGTGTCAAACATGCGGCCCAGGGGCCAGATTGGGCCCTCCAAGACCTTTAATCTGGCCCTCGGCTGATTTTCTACTAAAATATTTTAATTCTATTTTTTATTAAAATCTTGTTAATTTTCTGTGGTGTTTATCACAGCAGCGTCTCCAGCGTCTCTGTACGTGGCCCCTCCCACCAGAGCAGCACAAATGAAGACTTGTCTCTTTCCAAACGCTCTTAAAGGACGATCGTTTTGACTGTTGACCGTGACACCCTCATCAGAAAAATGTCCAACATGAGAAAAGTGGAGCCGAGTGCAGGATTTTACAACAAAAATTAACTTTTTCCTATTTCTACAAGTTAATTTTAAAGAAGTTCATGTTAAAACATTGTATTTTTCTTAAAGTTTCAGGTTGTTCATGATATTATAATATTTTGTAAAAGAAAGAGTTCATCAATTAAAAAAGATTTCTGTAATAGATTTGTGTTTCTCTGCACAAATATTTGAACTTTTTGTTATTTTTGGGGTTTATATGACATGAGTTTTCTGATCTGGCCCCTTTAGGATCAAAGTAGGTTGGACACGGCCCCCGGACCAAAATGAGTTTGACACCTGTGCTCTAGAGCCACATCAGCTCGTTTGAAATTATAATGTGTTTAATGCTGATTTGCGCAAGTCTCACAGAAACGAAACTTAAAAACCGCATGGCTAATTTGCATAAACTAAGCGAGAAAAAAAAAAGCTCTTGTGTCGCTGATGCGGTTCAGCTTCTGTGGGACTGAAGGACTCAGTGGAATATAGATGTTCTTTCTGTGACAGAGTGTTGAAGGTGAAGGTGAGTCTGTTCTGTGTTTGTGTCGTGATGTTTTCAGACGTGTGCAGGTTTATCGCAGATGCGGCGAGAACGAGAATGAAAATCACAATTGTTTGCGGGAGCGATGTGTTATTGTCCCAACAACACATAAAAACTGATTTTATAATAAGGCAACTCGCGTACAGATACAGTAAAGTTAGAGATTAAAAATGAGATTAACGCAATAAAAAAACAACGCACTGTAATTAATTAATCGCAATTAACGTGATAATTTGACACCCCTAATTGTCAGCGCAATCAAATAGTTTATCGCCGTGTGATAAAATAAGTTCTGATGCTAAATGAACATTAGTGAGGGGGATTTGTTTTAACCGTGTGCGTAAATGACGAGAAGAAACGTCTCAAACTCAGACCTGATCCATACACCTGTCCCCGCCCCCGAGACGGTCTGAAATCTGCTGAAATCCTCCAAGACACTGACACGATACAGACAGAACAGAGACTCTTTCTGCAGGAGACATGAGCAGTAGAGCACGAGGAGAGACGCTGAGGAAGATTCAGTTTGATTGTGTTTTTCAGTTGTTTTGCGCTTCATACACACACTAACCTCATGGAAAACACACGAAGAAATGCAGATGATGCAGATTTTAAATTAAAGGTGATCGATGTGTCTGTGGTAAAAGGAAACAGAGCTGCTGCACGTGAGCTCGACATCAGTGAGTCGATGGTGAGGTTTTGGCGACGGCAGCGTGACGAACTGACTCAACGCAAAAAGACGACAAAAACTTTCAGAGGCGATAAAAGCAGACGGCAGCTTATATTCAGGTGCAGCCTATAAATGTACAATTTTAAAATTTTGTTAAAATTAAGTTGATGCTGTTTATATTCAGGTGCAGTCAATAATACAGTAATAACAACAGAAGAGAGAACAACAGACTGTTAACGTCACATATGAACAGTTCTTCAGATAAACTATAACAACAAACTATAAACAACAGAACAGAACAAGTTTACCAAACTCTCCATCTCACTCCAAATCACTAAATCCATTCAATTCTTCATCCTCGGTGTCACTTCTGAACAACTCCACGACCTCTGGAGGTAAACAGAGCGACGCTTCCTCTTCTGTGTCGCTGTCGTCAGACTCAGCATCAGTTCCAGTTAGAATTATTCGGGTCTTTCTGAATCCCGACAGGATGGTTTCGGTGTCACTGAAGTCCAGGCTTTGTCCATCCAACCACTGACTTCAGGAAAGTTTCATGGTGTCACAAGTTTCTCTCTCACTCCAAACTTTCTTTCTGCTGCTCGATTATCGTTTTCAGCTGAATATTTCACGACTTGCAGCAGGACAGAGGCTCTTTCTGCGGGAGACATGCGCAGTAGAGCCAAGTGACAGTGGTACAGGAGGAAAATAAGTCACAGGAAACACCCAAACCATGTAAAAAAAGTGCTACTTATACCTTTTTTTTTTTTTTAAGTCGCATTTTTTTTCATGCTTTGAGTGTTTCCTGCAACTTATACTGCGGTGCGACTTATATATTAAAATTTTCAGACTGACAGCCGCAAGAGGTTCTAGGCTTGTGTGTCAGTATCTAGTGCTACTATTACTCCTGCACCACTGTTACTTCGCTCTCTACTGCACGTCTCCTGTAGAAAAAGCCTCTGTCCTGCTGCAAATAGTGAAATATTCAGCTGAAAACGGTAATCGAGCAGCAGAAAGAAAGTTTGGAGTGAGAGAAAAACTTGTGAGGGACTGGAGAAAAGCGGGGATGAAAAACACAGCTTCATGGTAACAAGGAGGATGCACCATGAAACTTTCCTGAAGTCAGTGGATGGATGGACAAAGTCTGGACTTCAGTGACACCGAAACCATCCTGTCGGGATTCAGAAAGACCCGAATAATTCTAACTGGAACTGATGCTGAGTCTGACGACAGCGACACAGAAGAGGAAGCGTCGCTCTGTTTAACTCATGGATCTGTGGTTTATCTCTGGAGGTCGCAGAGAAGTGACACCGAGGATGAAGAATTGAATGGATTTAGTGTTTTGGAGTGAGATGGAGAGTTTGTTAAACTTGTTCTGTTTTGTTGTTTATGTTATAGTTTATCTGAAGAACTGTTCATATGTGTTGTTCTCTCTTCTGTTGTTATCACTAGAACTTGACTTTCAAGATGAAATGTCGGTTCCTGGTCTCTGATTTTATAAAATACATTTCCCCCTAAATGTGCGACTTACATTTGTTTTTTTTCCTTCTTCCTTGCACATTTTTTGGCTGGCGCGACTTATACTCCAGAGCCACTTATAGCCTGGAAAATACGTTAGTCCAAAAAATACGGTAATATAGAAAGTTCTCCACTTTGTTTTTAAACTCCATGCTCCTTTACTAGAATAATTTGGATCTTTTCAGACCTGGAATTGCCAATCTCTGCTTAACCGAGCTGTTAACATGAAAATTCATGACATCACAAAGTGGAGGTGCAGACAGACTAATAATGAAAGTGTTACTTAAACTTTTGTGAACAAAACAAAACAAAACACAACCCCAGGTCTGTTTTTAATGAGGTAACAACATTCTAACATGACTTAAAGCTCAAGAGAATAATTTTTGTGTATAATATTGGATCTATAATTAAAATTTTGAAATGTTCTTTTAGGATCCTGCAGCATTTCAACGCCGACCCCGAGGAATACTCCGTCATCTTCACCTCCGGAAGCACGGCCGCCCTCCGCCTGGCCGCCGAGAGTTTCCCGTGGAGCCCCGGGAGCATCTTCAGCTACCTGACCGACAACCACACCTCCGTCGTGGGCATGAGAGGCCTCACTTCTGACCTGGGGGTTACCACTTTACCCGTACGGCCCGAAGCCCTCGAAAACACCGCTAAAAATACAGCTCGGGAAGGAGATATTTCACGCCAAACTCCGCATCTGTTCTGCTTTCCTGCCCAGAGCAACTTTTCCGGGAAGAAATACGCCCTTAGCTACGTGAGGGGCATCCAAGCACGACGTCTGTACCCAGCGAGCGGCTACGACGGAAAGTGGTTTGTCCTCCTAGACGCCGCCTCCTATGTCAGCTCCTCTCCACTAAATTTAAAGCAGTACAAGGCCGATCTCATCCCCGTCTCCTTCTACAAGCTCCTCGGATTCCCCTCGGGGCTCGGGGCGCTGCTCGTGCACAGGGACGCCGCGGCCGTGTTGAGAAAGAGGTATTTCGGGGGAGGCACGGCGATGGCGTACCTCTCCGGAGAAGATTATTACGTCCCGGCGAAGAGCCCGTCTGACAGGTGAAGTAAAAAAAATAATAAAAAAACACAAGCTGGCTGCGCTCGGAATGTACAAACACACTGACGTCCAGACCAAACTCCAGACCAGGGGGAGGACAGAATAATACAGTCTCTTAGTAAAACAGACAGAGACAGAGAGGTGCACTGCGTAACTTTTTTACATCAGCTTGTCTCCACGGAAATGTTTCACAGTACGGCATTAAAAAACTCATGTATGCATTTATGTATGAAAGATAATTTGTTCCATTAGATTTAGAATTTTAAATACAGCTGAATTTCTCACTAGACAGAACAAAATATAAGACTAATACACGTACACAAAAAACAAACAAACAAACAAAAGAGTAATAAGTAAATAAAAATAAGTTTGGTGAAATGTTAAATTTTCAGTGGTACAGACTAGGGACGGGCATTCGATGAAATTTTCTTAATCGATCGTCGGAAGAATTAACGATCGATTATCGATTAATCATTAATGTTTTTATATTAAAATGATCATCATTATTATTACTATCTGCACTAATCTGCATAAATAAATTCAACTTTACGACATATAAACATAACGACTCTAGAGCCACATCAGCTGTTTGACATTATAATGTGTTTAATTCAGTTTTGTTCAAATCTCACAGAAACAAAACTTAAAACCACATCACTAATTTACATAAACTAAGTGAAGATAAAACTCCAGCTCTTGTGTCGCTGATGTGGTTCAACTTTCTGTTGGATTAAAAGACATGACTCAGGTGAATACAGGTCAGTGTGACCAGATTTGTGTTTGTCAAAACCAGGACAGCGTACGGGGGGAGGGGGGCGGGGCCTCGTCATCCACATTGAGCGACTCTCACCTGGAAAAACTTTTTCCCACTGGACACTGAAACATATGTGCTGCTTTATACACTGTGCACATGGACTCACACTTGTCCCAACGCAACGGAAAACACGGAATTTCTTGTACAAATCCTGGTTAAATCCACATTTGTGCTTCGGTTCGTTACAGACTGACCCACTGTTTGTGTCTCGCTCCTTCTGATGCAGAGACACATGTACACACCTGTTTGGTCACGACACACACAGCAACATACATTCGGTTTGTCGATTTAAAATGAACGTAATCGATGAAATTCTTAATGATCAATTATTGATTAATCATGCCCATCCCTAGTAGGGAGGGTGTGTCTGGGACCGCTGGATTGTCGGCGTGTTCGCAGTGACTCAGTTGTTCAGTCGTGTCTAGAAGCGGCACGTCGCGCTCGCTTTTTCGGTTCGTTCCTCCGTTCCGTTCCTCGTCGGCGTGGAGTGATGAGTGTGTCTGTGTGTCTGTGGGTGTGTTTCGCTGTGCGGTCGCTGTCTGCTCCGTGTGTGTTTGCGTGTTCTGTGGGTGGTGCGGCTTTGTCGTTTACTGAAGTCGTGCTGGGACACCTGAGTGGATTCGTGTATGGGGTGCGCGGTCGTTTTTTGGTGCGGTTAGAGGCTTAAGAGCGCGTCTAATAGCCCCGAAAATACGGTACAAGTCGCACCGGAGTATAAGTCACAGGAAACACCCAAACCATTAAAAAAGTGCGACTTATAGTCTGAAAAATACAATTGTTATTTTTTTCCTTGTTTTTAAGACAGTAATAATCTAAAATCTAACATTTCTTGTGGAGGGTCTGCTTGTTATTGTTTTGGAGGAATAGGAGCGGCCGTCAGTGTGAAAACTTTAATATATAAGTCGCACCGGAGTGTAAGTCGCAGGAAAGACCCAAACCATGAAAAAAAGTGACACTTATAGTCCGAAAAATACGAAAAATACAGAAAGTGCTCCATGTTGTTTTTAAACTCCTTGCACCTTTACTAGAATAATTTGGATGTTTTCAGCCCTGGAATTGCCAAACTCTACTGAACTAAAGGTCAAAAGTATCTGTTAACTTGAAAACTACCAGTTTATGACATCACAAGGTGGAGGTGCAGACAGACAAATATTAAAGAGTACAACAAACAAACAAAAGAGTAATAAGTAAATAAAAATAAGGTGTTTGCATGTGTGTATGTATTTACATTTTAGGGCTGTCAAATCATGCATTTCCATATTTTTTGTTCATTTATATTATTGTTTTCTTTCTTTCTTCTTCTTCTTCTTCTTCTTCTTCTTCTTATTATTATTATTATTATTATTTATTTATTTATTTATTTTATTCTGAAAAAAAAAAAAAAATTCTGAATTTTAGCTGAAATTTTAAGTATACTTTTTCAATATATTTCAAACTGAAAATGAAAATTTCACCTTTTAAAGAATATTTCGAGAGACGGAAGTTATACAATTGGATGCAAAATAAACACGGCAAATGCTGCTTAATTTGGAGGCAAGGCAAGTTTATTTGTAAAGCACAATTCGTACACAAAGTAATTCAAAGTGTTTTACAGAATAAGAAATACATTAAAATCACAATACAATACAAACAAATCAAAACATAAATAATCATCATAAAATTAAAAAGAAAGAGAGAGATTAAATTAAAGAGAAGAGAACCATTCCTTCCTCCACAAACAAAATAAGAGTTTGTCAGTTCATATTTTAGTCTTTTCTTCAACTCTTCTGCTTCTGGACGTGTTTTAAATGTGAACTTTGAACAGAATCTTATTATTAAAACATAAATTGCAAATACTTGTCAGAAAAATCACAGTTCATCATCGTTCGGCCTTGTAATACGTGTTTTTAATTCTGTTTTAGTCAGAGCCGTCGATTTTAACCTGTTAAAGTTTAACTGGTGCGTCTCATTCAGAGGTAATAAAAGAACCAGAACCGAGTAATTCAATAACCCAAGTTTATTTCAATTGCACCTTTTACAGATAAGAATGAAAGCTCTACTATTAAGTGATAGAGTTTTATGTTTGATAGCACTTCATTGAGAAAAAACAATTCCTTAAAGTAATCTCTACATGCTCAGAAAACCAGATACTAATCAATAATAAAACTAGTATCAAAACTTTTAAGATTTTTTTCAAGGCTGATGCTGATTGTTTAGAATCTTAAGCAGCCGAAGGGAAATTTTTTAATTATTTTCTAGGGGTGTAACGGTACACAAAATGGGGAGAAAATGGAAAACCTAGTTGTTTGTTTGTGTTTTTATTAAACCAGCAATTTGTTTTTAACTTTATACAAATGGGAAAATAAATGTAAAGTGCTGCTTGGTAATACTAATAAGTTCAATAAAATATAAAAAATGAATATCTTGTAAACAGTAAACTAAACTTTTCAAAAAGCACAGCACTAACAGTTCCAGCATGAACTTTTACTCAATTAGGGCTGGGTATCATTATCATTAAGAAGTTGCCGATACGATACATACCTCGATACACAGGCCACGATACGATACATACCTCGATACAGTGAACTTTCGATTCGATATGATATAATTAAAATCGATTTGATACAATTCAATAAAAAATAAAGGCTAAATCATGACTGTGATACTAAAGTGTTTGTTAAACCACTTCTTGTGCAAAGTTCATATGAAACACAAACATTTTAATCCACAAAACAGTGTCAAAATGTCAAATGTGTCGCATAAATGAGTTTCCTTTCACTCCACAAGCAACAAAACTGTAGCTGTAACAAAATAATTTAGTAAAACACACGTAAAAATACTCTTGGTGAAATATCGATACAGTAGCCCACGATATCGATACTGTATCATCACATTAAACGATATGATATATCGATATTCCGATATTTTTGCACACCCCGATACTCAGTTGTCATTTTTTGGGGGGGAGGAGGGCCCCAATCGCGGACGAGTTCGCTCATGAATATTAAAGAGCCGAGCCTCCGTGTACAGGGCAGTCGCTGGGTCTTAAAAGTCTTAAAAAGGTCTTAAGTTTCATGTCCCTAAATTAAGGCCTTAAAAAGTCTTAAATTATGTTGTCCAAGTCTTTTTTTTTTCACAAAGGTCTTAAATTTCATTAGTCTATTTTATTGTGAACTCAACCGAGCTGCAGTGTGATGTTAAACTGAGGGAGGAAAAAAAAACAACAACGTGAAATCGTGTAACGTGAATGAACGTTTAATTTGAAGAATACGTAAACAAAACTTTGGTTTCGGGCGCTGGTGGCAATGAATAAACGATCAGTAGAGTGAAGAAAGACGTTGGATGGATCATTGGGAGGTGTAGGTTTAATCCACAGGCTCTTAGATTCTAAATATAGTAGTTAGTTGGTCGTTATTAGAATTGGATCTGGTGTTTTTCACCTGCATAATGAGTGCGATGTTGGACTTAATTTTAATTTTAAGTCAGGGGTGTTCACACTAGAGCCCGACCGATATGGATTTTGTTGTGGCCGATATGAAACCGATATATTTAGTGATGTAAAAATTCACTGTAAATCTTGAATTGATTAAAAAACTTAGGTTTGGCTCTAGTGGATTCTAAATTGGGTTTATTTAGGCAACATTTATTGTTATTCTGACTCTTTACATCATATTTACAGACAGTACGTTTGGCCTAATGGCATTTTTGCATCACATTCTAGACACTAGTGATGGGTATTCCAGTTTTTTTTTGTTTTTTTTTGGAGAACCGGCTCTTTTGGCTCGGCTCACTAAAGCAGCTGGCTCTTTCGGCTCCCAAGCGACTCTTGAGATTGTTTTGTTGCAAGCAGGACTAAACCAGAACTGAACCAGGACTGAGTGTCGGGACTCGGTCTCTCCTTCACTCGAGCCCAAGTTTAGTCCTGGTTTATTCATTTTATGCTGAACTGCAGCCAAATATGCACTTTTTTTTTATCCTATGCACACGCAGATTTCTGAAAGTTTCGTTTTCAGCCGCTGCTGCTGTCAAACTACGGGTCGACAAGCGGCTTGAAGAGAAAAAGTGAGAAAAAGAGAAAACACGGCTCCCAATAAGAAGCAGGCTCCTGTTGTTCGCTCTGTAAGAGCCGCTTCGATCGCGACCGACCCATAACTCCTAGCTAGTAAACTATCGCTATTAGCCTTTAGCCGTAAAAACGTGCGCACCGCG